GTCCTAAAGGCTCAAGATCCTACCCATAAAAAGCTTCCAAGGTTATATAATGACTTCAGGGGATATTCTGTACATTTTTCTTCAGCTATATTCTCTACATTGTCAATCATGCCCATCTATGACCCTGAAGCATGTCACTAAAAATAAAATTTTCTTCACCATATTACAGTGTAGTTTTCTATTTTAAGTCTTTAAAATTGCACACATGCACCTTTGCTACTAAATCTAAATTATCCTCTGGGGGACGGTGGAAAAAGTTTGATGTAGTACGATTGTTATAGACTATATCATTAATTTTTTACAATTATATGGGACCTGTATGTTATATTCTTACTTGCATGCATGAATGTATGTGTGCACGTTTATACAATTCACAAAATATACCATGTTATTTAGAAACTCTGAAGGTGGCAGTTTAAAGGCTATTTTGTGCTAATAATGGTTCAATACCTAAAGCAGAGTTCTGCACAAGGTAAATTAACCAGGGAAATATGCCAACTCTGACTTCATTTCCATCCTGTTGAATGACTGCATTCATTCTGTGTGGGTTTAAAGCTCTTCATTTACTGTTCCTCACATTCTTTTTAGGATTCCAGCTTGTGTTTCACCTATGCTTTAACAGTTTAACATAGATGGCTGGGCCAGGTCCATTGTTCCGATTGTGTGTAGCTTAAAAAGCTCTGCAGTATTTTAGTCTCTCCATTGTATCTGGCTTCCCCGAGTGCTCTGCTCCCTGTATTTCACTCGCACTCTCTGTTTTCTAAACCCATTTGTGCCTATTCTTTCTGAAGACATTTGTTCATCTGTGAGCTCAAATTGACTTCTCCCCATTCTATTTCCTTAACTAAAAATGCACCATTAAGGTTGATTGAACTCGTTCAAAGCACTTTATAAAAAATGAAAGGCCATATGAAAGTAGGCTACGAGTGTTTGTAAATATCTGTTTTAAGCCAAATTGATAGCAAAGGATACAAAATAATTGGAAACTTAAAAATGCTATTGATATTTTTTGTACAGATTAGCCTTTTCGGGGGTTCTTTGATAAGTGCACTTGTAAGCACGTTGGCAGGGAGGGGAGAGGTACCACGTGTTATAATTAACAATAGAACAAATATGGCCAAACCACTAAGATTATCCAAAAACAACACAAAGTTGTTATTTTTGTGGTTTGCAAAATAGATCATCACTGGCCTTTTTTATTTAAATATTTAAATAACGGCTGGTGTGAAATATTTTTAAACATTTAGAAATTAATTAAAATTATAAAATTAAAAACCAGAAGAAAATTTAGAAATCTATTTGTGGAAAATATTTCACAATTATTTCTATTTTCATGTCTGATTAAAATGTACCTCATTTACAAAACACCAAAACGTCATTTTTCTTTGAATTTTTGTTCAAATGGTATAATATAAAGAAAAATCTCTTCCAACTTTAAAGTTAACATTTCAGAGTTACTGAAATCTTACATGGCACATGACAATATTGATGAATTCATGTTTTGATTTACCTGAGAGATTGGGGTATTGATCTCTTACAGTTAGGGTAAGACCAAATAAAATATAAAAGGTAAAAAATTTAATTTCAGGTAACAGTATTTTCAAAGACACTTGCAATTTTCTTTGAATGAATGTGTTATTTTTAGGTTACAAATTTCATAGGTTTTTCGTTAATCATTAATTGTATCTTAATGACAAGGAAAAGTCATTACCAAGCAAAATTTTAATATAAAAAGTGCATAAGTTGAGTCTGAGAAATGTTTTTGAATAATCTACAAAACAATTTTATTCACAAATAAAAGCAAAAGAAAAATAGGATTGTATGCCTGATATTTTTTGTAAGAAACAAACATGTAGAAGCCAAATATTTCTAACAAAAAAGCTGTGTTCTTTGCCGACCTACTTCTAGACGGCAGCTGTGAACTTAAATTGCAGTTGGGAAAAGGTTTTTCTTTAAAAAATTTTCAATATTAGAGGAAATTGTAAAAGACAAACAAGAATAGGTAAGTCTTTTGAAGTATCTCAGAGTCCCTAGGTTTATAGCAGATGCATCAGGAAAACTGAACCATTTTCTAGCTCACAAACAAGATGATTTGGTCAGAATCACTTAACAGCGAATAGAACCTGGCCAATAGTGGTTGCTTTTACTCATATAGATTATCATTTACTTCCTTTTTTCAAGAGCTAAATAATAGAAACGAAGAGCCTAGAACATGACTAAGATCTAATGTTTCAAAACATTAAACACTTTTCATAATGCACGATAGCTTACAAATAAATAATGACAAAGCATGTTACTTACACAGTATGATTATTTTAAAGCTAGTCAATGATGCCTATGCAGACAACAGGCAATGTCCGTTCTTGCAATACAGTCTATGATGTACGTTCTAGCCAAGAACATATGCACAACCATAGATAATTTTGGGTTAAAAGAAAAATCCAGGGCTATAAAAATAGAAGTAATCAAGTTTTTATTGAACAATTAATTATGTTTAAACTTCATGTATAGAAATCAGATCAATTTGAAAACACCTACATTCAGTACTATAATTTTCTAATCTATAGTTACAATGCCCTAATTTCTAACTTGGTAAGTTGGTTGTGGAATTAAACACTGAAAACAAGTCATATAACCATGCATATGATTGCACGCAAAATAAATCCAACAAGACACTTGCTGTAAGCAAACAAATAATACCTTGGTGTAGAAATTATACATTTTACCTAAACTAAACACACTGAGCTTTTAAGTCTTTACATACATTAGGGCTGTACAACAGCTTATTAAATAGCACACTGGTAGTAAGTAGGTGCCCATTCACTTGAATTGAAGAAGCAATGAATCTGGAGGAGAAGGATACATAAAAAGAATTAAGATGTGTTATGTACATGTACTAACTCCTCATGAATGAATGTAATCACTATGTACTGTAAATGTATCAATAAAAAACAATTGAAAAAAATCTGAAGTTGAAAAGAATCTAGGATTAGATGGGAATGTACTGTTCTTTTTTGTAAGTCATAGCTTGTTTATACATAAAGAAAATACATAAAGGAAGACATGAAACATCAGGCCTATTAAAGAAGATCATTACTATGGCATTTAAAATATGTGCTAGCGGTCTGTGTGTGTAGGTTTAAAATGGTTTGTTGAGTATGTTACAAATAATTTGTAACTATAACTTAAAATTTCAGAATTGGATTCTGTACTTAAGAATAATTGAGAGCAGAGCTAAAATGACTCCTATAAAAACACCATTTACATTCACTGATATTTCTCATTTGTTTTGTTAAATAGGAAAGGGCTGGACCTACAGCTATTGCCTTATGTATTACAAGTAACTATATCTTGACCTATCCAGGTATTTTTAGTGGAGTCATACATCATGTCAGTGAAATCCTCATGCCATGCAAAAAAAATTCAGAACTTCACTAAATCGTGTTAGCATCACCTCACTGATTTTATATCAAGTCAATTCTGTATAAGAAGGCCTCTGAAGGTCAGTCTCTATCTGTATTTTATCCCGCACAGAGTAATGCCTAAGAGCATGTTTATCATTAGCCTCACTATCAAATTGTGTATTAAAAATATTTTACTTTATACTATGGTTTCTCTTCAGATTGCATAAATCTTTTGCCTTTTAAAAATATTTTACTTTAAAGAATAAATTCAGATGTAATTAAAATATAGAAAATATAACAATTATACCTCAAAATTTAATATGAACATGAAAATCACATGAAAGAACTTCACTATATTAAAAATCCATGGGGTGGATGAAAGAAAATATGCAAACTATTAAATGGATACGGTATAAGTTGTGGCTTTTCTGCTTTTATACCTTTTTGTTCCTCAACTTTCTCCAGTGATAACCTATTACCTTTATTTTTCCTACATTAGTATTTTAAAATACACTTTTAATTATAAAAGTAATACTTTCCCTATTTCATTTATAAATAATCATAAAAGAAAAAAACGGTGATATTAATTTAGTAACAAAGAAGTGTAGATATTATCACAACACTGTGACAAAAGCAGTTGTCAAAACTAAAGGGCAATGAAGACATCTTCTGGACACTTGGAGAACTACAGTTGTTTTTTTAAACAAAAGACCTTTTTCCACTGAGTTTAACAGTTATTTAAAAACCACACATTAAGATGTGCAAAATTTATCGATAATTAGATTTAAATTTTAAATATTACATGATTAAATCAAAAGTACAGCATTTATGGAAGAAAATTTATTTTATGTACATTGGAATTATGTTATTTCTATAATATCTTTGATATTACTTCCAGGCAAATTATACACTCTAAATATTCTCATAAAACAGTTTATTGCTTTGCAAGGCACATATATATGAAAACTAAATGCAGTGTTAAATCAATACTTTAGAAAGGAACACTTTCTGAATCACAGAGCCCATTTATAAAAACATGCTAGCATTTTAGTCATCAATTTTAAAAATATTTAACAAGCTAACCCCAAACCGTATTTTATATGTTATACTCTAGGCAATGTAATAATTTGGAAAAATTATTTCCAAAGACATATAATTATTAACAATCCAGACTGGTCCCTCAGTTTGCACCTCTATTCTTTTCTGCCTGAAACTACTTGTAGAATTATATTACTATAGGCACAGTTAATAATTTGTATATGAAATATAACTGGTTACACCATAGTCATGTTTAGGAGCTAGCAATGATGTATAGTATTTTTATCTCTGAATGATTTTGAGGGTATCCTGGTTTGAGGATAGGTTTTTGGAATTGTATTTTAAAAAATTAACCCATAACAAACTCAACTAGCAAAACATATTGCTTAGTAAAAATTGTGTTTGGTAAGAAATGTATGCTTTAGTTTGATGTAATTCCAAATGAATAGATAATCTACAAGTGAAAGCATGCTTATTTCTTAATGTCCTCATATATCAGGCCACAATGCGATTTTATAATTAAATTCTTTTAACACCAGAATGAAGCATTTGATTCGCTAGACTTTGATGTCATTTTTAATTTTTCAAATTGTTGTATGCTTTAATAGTTCATAATTTTTTAGTATACAAATTCAAACAAAGATTGATATAACCATAAAGAATGTTTGAAAGAGGATGATATTAAATTCTTCAAGAGTGATAAATTATCTTCATATGGAAGTGTTTCAATAACGTAAGTAACATGTTTATCTTTTTTTTCTTTTTTACTGACTACTATGTGATAGGTTTTGCACAGCTACTAAAAGAAACAGGTTTTCTGGTATATTGTCATTTTTCTTTAGGCAGTTACATATGATTTGATCTTGTAAAGTTGCTTCCAGGAATTCTGTAAGAAATAAGACATTCGTGCATCAAATAATGGTAATTTTATCTCTTAATGGGTCAGTTAGCTTAAGGAACTTTGCAATAAATGATATATGTATTTTATGTGCATACAATATAAAGAAATATAAAGGAAGAAAATGCTCTTAGTTTGTACTGTTTAAAAATTGGGTTATTCAAAGGTCTTTCTGAAACACAACTGATTACAGCAAGGGAGGTCGGTGAAGCAAGAGCCCAGCTAAAGTTAAATTTCCTGCTGGGCCCCGTCTTGCTAAGTGATGACGAGGAGTAAAAGCATAGTTACAGAGAAGCTGGGAGCAGGTAATCCTTGGAAGTCCAGGCGGAGAGGGGGGAGTGCTGAGCGGACTCTAAATGAGAAGTAGCAAGGTTATCAGGATGAAGCTTGTTTCTGGAGCTTGGTCCAGACAGGAGGCAGGGCTGAGTGGGAATTTTAAAGAAAGCTTTGAAGAATTTACAAAATCCTCTGCCCTCACAATTTCAAAGCTGAATTTACTTGATTTATAAAATACAAGGGAATTGCTTTGCATATTCAGTGCATAGAATAAGGGGGAGAGAATATAGTTAAAAACAGTTCCTATTGAATTATTTCTGTGTTACTCCACTCCCGGGCAGTTAGCACTTGACCTTGATAGTCATCTCAAGTCTTTTGAATTATGAGGTAAACATATAGGACTTTGGGAAAGATGAGAAAAGAAGCTCTATTCTGACAGATTTTCTCAGCTACCAGAGTAAATGCGTAGCCGTGTACTGTACAGTAAGACTGCCTTCCTTTATACATGATTAGCAAATAGGAAGGTTCTTTTTAAATGGTGATGAATGATATTACAACACAGAAGAAGGATAACGTTACCTTTCCTCATCTTGGTTGCTGTGGTACATTTGTGCAGTTGGAGATGCAATAGTTTGATGTGATAATGGAGTTGGAGAAAGATTTATTCCTCTGAGATGCCGAAAAGCAATTTCTGCATGAATGCTCCGAGAATTACTTGACAGAATCCCTGTATTCCTGTTTTTTTTGTCTGGAATCAGGAATCCACGTAGTTCAAATTAGAAAACAAAAAGATGTATTAAGTAATAAAATCTAGTTGTTCTTAAGCTGAATGTATGCTACACATTTTTCATATTATGAATTTAAAAATTTAAATAAAATTATGAATTGGTACATGTGGCTAAAATTTTTATGTGGCAATGAATAAGTTTGATCCTTTCTGTATAATTTTTGAAAACACAAATATCTATATCTGCATGTTGTAATACATATACACAGATAAAATCACTACACACTTAACAAGAAGAATTTAGGTAGCACTAGGAGAAAATAGGGAATAAATTAAGAAGTTCTATAGAAAATCCTAAGAATTGTTGCATAACAAACTCCGAAGAAAGATTTGCTGAAGATCCTGAACGAAACTTTGAAGATGAATTCAGGATTGAACTAATATAAAAATCCGTTACAAAAGATGGCACTGTATTATTAAAGAAGTTAACAGCAATTTAATATGTCTAATTTTTTCCACAGTTCTATTTACCGGTCAAAAACCTAACTGTTCTGCTTATGATTAAAATCTTAAAGCCATGAAGACATAGAAGTATGAGAAAAGTTAGACAAAATAAAACATCAAAACAGAGTAAACTTTGCAGAGCTTGTTTTTAACTGAGTTTCCTTTAAACACTATAGCCCTGTAGAGTTATCTTCCACAGTAGGCTTAGGTCACTTATAATTAGTGTTATGTTCAGTTTTATTGACTCAGGACAAAGGGAGAGGTTAAAAGCAGGGAAGAGACGGTCCCTCAAGAAAGAATAACTAACCCCAATTCTGTCAAAATAATAGACAGCCAGTGAAGGTCTGGAATTAGGGAATAGGCTTGTTCTAAACCCAAATAGACACAGAAATGTATGGTAATAATAAAGTAAGTCATTTCCATGTCCTATTCATTCATTATATTATCTCTTTAAAAACTTTTCTATCCTATTAGCTTCCTACATTTACTAGTGGTTTCATGGAAAACATATGATACCTTTGTAAGATAGCCTCTATGCTCCCAAGTTTCTGTTATAAATTTCTGGTTTTTACTTTTACCAGAACTCACTACAAGATACAGAGACGGGATATAACATATGAAGTAAAATCTTTAGGAAGAAGTCAGTAAATAATTGTACAAGTGAAAACCCAACATTCACATTGTGAAAGAGCAAATGTAGTTACAACACAGTAGTACTGGAGTAGAGGGAAAAAATTCATAGTCTCTGAAATCAGAAATTCAAGAAGAACGTTTGAATAAGCAGGGTATTTTAAGAAATGTAAATGAAAACTTTTAGTAAGATTAGAATGAAAGTAAGAGTTTTTGTTCAAATCAGTTGGACTTCCCCCATTATTTCTGAAGGTCGGTCAGAATACCTTCTACTTCAGGAGTCAAGGTGAAGTCAGGTCCCAAGTAATGGCTGAGGCCAGCAGGCAGAATCAGATTGGTTATTTTAATGGGAGGTGCTTTCACTTGGCAGAATGAGCCTCCATCCACAGGAGGGCTGGTAACAGGAATCACCTACACCAAAAACAAAACAGTTAAAAAACATCCTGCATTAAAAGCTCAGATCTACACATTTAGCCCTCATCATGAGGTCCATTTGATAATTAACTTAAAATTTTTTAAATCAGCAATTGCATACTCGCCTACACTCAGATTTGGTAAAAGTGACCAAAGCTTTGGGCAGTTAACATCCCTCAGAACCCTGGGCTCTGTTTTTCCGGGCTGTATTGTACTCGTCACTGGAAGCCAGTGCTTGATGGTACTATCCCTTTCCAAAGCATCTTACTAAGCACAGAATGAAGAAAATGAGAATTAAGACTTTTCTCTTTTGTAATAGTTCTTCTTTTTCTAGAAATTTTAGGAATTTCTGGAAGGTAAGAATTGTTTCTTCTCTATCTTTGTATTCTTTGTATTACTGTAGCTCATCAGGTTCCTTGGCGTTAACTAGCTTTTTAAAAAAACAAGTAAATAAAAGTGAGGACTAGGAAAAGCATCTTAAAACCATTTTAAAGAATGTGATAAATACTCTACACAGTATTTACCTTTTAAGCCTGTTGAAGATTAAGAGTCTTTTAAAAGAATTTCAGGAATCAGCAAATCGGGGAGAAAAGTATTGCAGCCAGAGGATTCCTGCTTTCCCCAGGAATGCATGCCTGTTCTGTTTTCATTTAGATGGTGACCTTGTTTATACTTTTAAAAACACAAATTCTGGAAGCACAACTTAACTCCTTTGGAGACACAGGCCCTTGCCAGTTTTGTAAAATCACAAATTTACTTCATACTTTACTGTCACCAACAGGGCGGCATTCAAACCAATGCTGTGACACCCATCCTTTCACAAGAGCTTCCCAGTCCCAAATCCCCTCATTCTGTGGGACCATCTTCCCATCACTAATACAGATCGTTGTCAAATTTTCTTCTAAAACCATATAAAAATGTTTTGGTCTAAAAGACAAATTTTAGAGTATTTCTCCATATCTTGCTGTTGAAAAAGAAAGCATAAAAGCAGTGGAAATAAGACCCATTAGATTGAACTGATAAACCTGAAAGATTTTCTCTTTTTTTGTCTTCTGCACAGTTAAAAGAAATAATGATTTTGTTCTGGCCATAAAAGTAAGAATTATTGCTGAATCTTAAAATATATTTCCCCAAAAGAAAGACTTCAAATATCCCTTTTACTTTATCAACCATATATGGAGGAATCAAAATGAAATTTAATACAATGTTTACATATAGAATAAGGGGGAAGAGTTAAGTTCTTTTATATAGCCCTGACTCAAATGGCAAGAATATGTACCCACTGTAATTCAACATGACATTGTGATGGAGTAAGGACAAAATCTGGGTTTACTATTTGATAAACAGAAAAATAGGCAGCAAACAAACCTTTTAATGAAATATTTATCCCCAACTATTTTGAATTCATGTACTTTTTCTGTTAAATTAAATGAATTTAACACTTATATATGAAAACTGGGATCTTTGTAGTAAGTCTAAGTGATTATTGAAAATTTACCAACATCACTTGAAAGTAGAACTTATAAATTTCAATGTGCTAATAATTTTTGTAGGTCTCTCAATGGAGCCCTCACACATGTATGGTAGGAAGAGTAGTTCCCCTTCCCCAAAGATGTCCTGAATCCTAATTTCTGAAGCCCGTGAATACCTTCCCTTATTCGACAAAGAAATTTGCAAGTGGAGACTGGGAGATTGCTCGGGATCGTCCAGGTGGAGGGAGACTGAGGGTGACAGTGAGGGGAGGAGGTGTGGTAATGGCCGCAGGGGTCTCAGTGATGTCCAGGCTAGGCAGGGCTGAGCCAAGGGCTGCAGACAGCCTGGAGAGGGAGGGAGTGGCAGAGTTGCTTGTCCTCTGAAGCTTCTAGTGAATGCAGCCCAGCTAAAACTTTGATTTTAGCCCTCTAACACCCATTTTCAGATTGCTGGTCCTAAAACTGCAAGATAATAAATCTGTGTTATTTTAAGCTAATAAACCTGTGATAAATCAGGGGCAACAGGAGACTAACTCATGGGGTAGAAGATTTTCAAGGGTGACTTGCTCCAGGAATATAAAATACAGAAATGAAAGGAAGGCTTCTCTCACTGAACTAAATTTTATTTGATCACTTGTTCTCTTTTGAAGACTGAAGCCTACAACAAAATCTTGAATAGATGGCATCAGACAGAATTTTTTCTTAGTTACATTAAACAGATAAGTGGCTAGTTTTTTCCTGCATAAGGTATAGATCTTAGAAAAATTTTAGAAAAATTGTAGATATTCACAAATAAATTTCCTTTGCCTATACTAATTTTTATTGACATTTAACAGGTTTAAGTCTCACAGGTTTCTACTTTGACCTGTAATAGAAACTGGTTAGTCAAAAGTCAAGATTAATAGAAACCACTAAGAATTACATGTTCATTTTTTAAAAAGCTTAAAGCACATAAAATATTCATTAATTTATTTTTGCAGTGCTGCGGTAGGACTCAGGTTCTCACATGCACTAGGTGAATGCTCTGCCACTGAGCCCACGTCCCTCGCCTCTCATGTGAGAGGCGATCTTCCGGTGTGGGCTGAAGACCCTTCTGTAAGCAAGTGACCTGTGATCGGTAGTGTTCCTGGATAAATCATATTCTTAAGTTTTGCCTACAATTTCTATTTTTGGTACCAGGAATCGAACTCAGGACCTTGCGCTTGCCAGGCAGGTGCTGTGCCTTTGAGCTATCTCTCTGGCTACACTTTCTATTTTTGGGTTCTTTAAAATAGCAATAATTTTAAAATTTGTAGAACATAAGAATTTGTCTAGAATTTTAGAAGAATTTTGAAAAATCTCCTAATATTTGCTCTGGGTTTTAATCAGTTTCTCCCGTCTTGCAGGTTTTTTGTCTCCCATCCTAATTTAATAAGTCTGTGGGTATGTGTGTGTGTGTGTGATTGCTCTTGATCTAGACTTCCCTAAATATTCAATTTGGTTTTAAGAGAAACAGAGAAATAATAATTTATACTTTACACTTATAGCTCATTTATCTATTGATAATAACTAGTATAACAGGTTTTTAAAAAACATAACCAACTCTCAGTAAGTATGCACATTCACCACTGAAGGGAGAAGTGGTCTACGGAGGAACCTAGTGATATCAAGACTTCCCTGTGTGTGGGAGTAGGTGTGTATGGAAGAATGAAGAGAGGCAGTTACACAACGCAGAGGGTTATGGGAAAGCCCATTAGGAGGGCATCCAAAGGTGTCCTTTTTCTTTCCTCTTCCAGATCTATTTCTAAAAGTAATCATTCTTCCTTGACTCTAACATCTCTGGCTTCACTTACATCAGTGGCCCCTTCCATGCTGGATTATCCTTGGCATCTCAGCTGGCTGAGGTGGTAGCTCAGTGGTCGAGCATTTATTTGCTTAGCATCTGCAAGGCCCTGGGTTTGATCCTCAGCAATGCAAACAAAGTTCCAGATCATTTCCCTGCCTCCTCAGTCTCTTCCTCTAATCTTGCAAAGGCTCAGCTCTAATAATCTTACCTTCCTATGCTGAAGCCACACCTTTTGAGTTAAAATTTGCCTGCAAGGATGGTTGTAAAGAAACTGGTGGTCAATGATAAATATTCTTTTATTTATTTATTTTTTTGGTTTGGTTTTTTTCCGGTACTGGGAATCGAACTCACAACATGGTGCTTGCCAGGCAGGTGCTGTGCCGCTGAGCTAAATCCCCAGTCCCCAATGATAAATATTCTTACAGATATGTGTCCTGGGTTTCTTCTATTTCTAAGTTCTTTCTAACAGGGTCAGATATATTTTAGGGCTCATGGGTGGAAGGCCCATTATAAGACTACTGCCAATGTTTAAGACTACAGGCACCAATCTTCCTTTAGCTACACAAACCAGAGAGTTGGATTCCTTCCCTTCCTCTCTGCCTAAATGGAAATGATTTTACTGTTTCTGTTTATGAAAGAATGATCACAGAGATGTCAAATAATTTATCTTATGTCAAAGCACACAATGAGCAAACATATTAAATAGCTTACCTTATGTCAAAGGTATTATTAGGAAAAGGAGTTTCTCTTGAGAGTAATTAGTAGATACTAAAATGATCTATAAAACATCACAAGTTTAAACATTTAAGTCAAAATGCATAGGATATAATGCTAACAATTTACATGTTCCAAAAGGAAAATATGTAACTAATATATTACCGAATTTTTCTTTGCTTGTAGTTCAGAAAAGTGAAATTCAGCTTTTGCCCTATCATCTGAATTTACAGGAATTCCATCTAACATCTGTAAATTAGGCAGTCGAAATATGAGCACATGGCGATGTAGAATTTTTCTACAAATCTAAAGTTAAAAATAACAAATTATTCCTGAAATCACTTTTATTTCAAAGATTAACCTTTAAAAGAAAGCAGTTTAGCACAGGCAACAAAAATGACAGATTAACAGCTAATTTATAGTATTAGATACTACAGATATGAACTCACTTTTGAAAGATTTCTCGATTTCTTATGTTGTCAAATGAAGATAAGAACAAGGACATTTTTAAAAAACTATGTCATTTAGAGTTTCAGTCTTTTAAAAAATTTTTCTAGTATTGCTCATTAGCTATAGGCAAATAAATAAACAGGATTACTTTATGAAAGATCATTTATAAGTAGCTTCAAACTTATACATTTTTCCAATGGCACTATCCAACTTAATTCAACACACACTTACTGACCTGTATAACCCATCCATTAACAATGTCAACCTACTCTAAAAACTATTTGCAGAAGTTAGAAAAGGAGGAGGTAAAGGAAGAGGAGGGAAAAGGAGAGAGAAGAAAAAGTCATCAAAAGGAAATAAACTATTTTAAAAGAATGTAGTAGATACATATACTAATGGAAAATGCTATGTAACACAAAACAAAGCAAAACACTGAGCACCATCTAGGCCACAAAGCAAGTTTATAAATGCCAAAGAATATACAGACTGTGTCTTCTGAAACATTAGAAATAAAGTGACAGATAACTAAAAGCACCCCATTTATTTGCAATTAGTAATGTAAATATATATATGGCCTTCAATAACTCACAAGTTCAAGAAGAAATATTTTGGAAAGTAAAAGATTTTAAGAAATACAGAACAGTAGTGATACCATACATCAAAGCTTTTAGGATGCTGCGAAAGCAATTCTTTCTAACTCAAAATTTATTGATTGATTCAGAAGAAATAGTGAAAATTAAGGAGCCAGTTGTCCTACTCAAAATTTTTTGAACACTAAATTTCAAGAGACTAAATGAGGAAATTAATGCAACAGAAAATAAAAAATAATATCCTTGTTAAAATCAAAATGTGTTCTTTGAAGAAATTATTAAGATAGAACAAAATCTTGTAGTTAGTTCTTTTATACAGAATTTTCTTGGAACACTAAGCTAAGCAGATATTTTCACCTCTCCTGTTATTTTTGTTAATTTGTTCCACTATTAGGTGGGTAAAAATGATATTTATTGGATCCCCTCAAAGGCTTTAACAAGAAAGGCAGCAAATTTCTTCCCAAATTAATGTATAAAGTAAATGTAATTTCACCAAAAATCAATGCAATTCTCATGTCTTGAGAAGTCATCTCCTAAAAGTTATAGGAAAGTGTAAAGGGACAAGGATAGCGAAGAAAAGAAGATGTAATGGTGAAGAAAAAAAGATATAATGAAGAAGAGGAGGAGAGGGAAGAGAAGAATAAATAGAAGTCCTTACTTTAACAGGCAGTAGGACAATATAAAACATTTGTTGATTAATGCAGTATAACAGCATTGGTACTGTGAGAGACAAGCAGGCTAAGGAGTACAACTGCAGAACTCTAAAACAGACCTTCTTATGTATGACAATGGTGTTTTGCACTGTAATCACATGAAAGAAGGCACTATACCTTAAATACTGCTGGGTTATCTGGCTATGCAAATGTAAATAAACACAATAAAATCTTGTTCCCAACCATGTAAAATAAATTATACACAGCTATTGGGAAATTAACTAATAAAGTAAAAGGCAACATACTTACTGGATTGCCATAAACTGTAAGCTCTCTGAGAGAAGAGATAACATCAAGTTTTTCCAGTTCTGCCATATCCTGTTCAAAAGTCAATGAATTATTATTTGGCTAGGTCCCAAATCCTCAAAATTGACTGACTTCAAGTAATTCTAGATAAGTGCTGGTAGCTCATGACTAAAACCACTGAAGTGAGCCTGTGTGCCAGTTTTTGTGCATTGCTGAATGAGAGCAGATCTGTGTACTGTGGGTTCCAAATACACAACTGGCAATGATAACAGTCTAACAGGAAAATGATCATACGGCATCACTTACAAGAAAAATATCAGATTTTTTTTTTCTCAGAAGTTAAGGTTTAGTCTAGGATTCAGGCTATATTTTGTTAATTCCTCCACAGTATTGACCAAGAAGTATGGAGAAGGTGAATACAGTCCAAAAAATATCAAAGGTACATATTTAAATGCAGCCTTAATAATACGAGAACATGTGCTACTAGATGGACCATAACAACTTGCTATACCCACTGGGGCTATATGGAGCTGAAAACTGTGTGTCTACTTAAATGATTTGCCTTCCCTACTGCACAGAATTATTCATTATTTCCCATCTGACAGTGATGAAAGCTTGCAAATACATTTTAGTTTTTGCCAAATTCTTTCTTTCTTTCTTTCTTTCTTTCTTTCTTTCTTTCTTTCTTTCTTTCTTTCTTTCTTTTCTTTTTTTTTTTTTTTTGTACCAGGAATCAAACTCAGGACCTTGTGCTTGCCAGGCAGGTGCTTGTGCCACTGAACTATATCCTTGGACCTGCAAAATTATTTCTAAAATACTGATTCTAGTAAAATTTTGGCAACAAGCTCAGCTTGAGGTTGTTGCTTGTTTGTAGTAATCCAACAAAGTTACTTGTATTTCTGATTGGAAGTGGACAAATAACCAATTTATCTAGTAATGATAACAATATTTAGGTTTAATTGATTCATTTGAAAGTAAAACTTGATTTTTAAAAAGGCTGATCATTATGACTGAATATTATAAAAGAGGTCTTTGAAAACACTCTAGCGCCTAGTTATCCATAAAAATATTGTGCATTTTAGTTCACAGGCATTGCTCGTGTGTGGAATAGTCTGATTAGAAATAATGGACATGTGGAAAGCACTGCATTTTTTTCTCAAATTAAAGAGTATAGCTGTGTCCACTATGGAAATACCTCTAATCAAACTATTCATCTCTCATGGAAAATATTCATACAAGAAATAGTATATTAAATTTGAAGAGGATAACATGGTATAAAATTTTAAGGAGACATCAAATGAGTCGTATGTCCATAACTGCATAAAGAAGGCTTTCCATTTTTAATATTGAATTTTTTTATATTAGTGTGTTGGGGTTACGTTTTACTGGCTCACAAAAGTCAATGGGTAAATTTTTAAGAATTTTATCATGTGGTATTTCAGCATGAAATTGGTTATGATAGGAGAAACTATACCATGGAAATTGGTAAATGCTACTAATTAGGGCTTTTTCCCCTGGGGAGCTGGTTGTCACATATTAATCACCAGGAAACCAATCGTTCTTACATGTTGAGTATGCTGTCAGGATAAGAACTTAAATCAGTCATAGTAACAGGGGCTGGGGATTTAGCTCAGCGGCAAAAGCGCCTGCCTGGCAAGCGCAAGGTCGTGAGTTCGGTTCCTGGTACCGGAGAAAAACCAAAAAAAAAAAAAAAAAAAAAAAAAAAAAAAAAAAAAAAAAAAAAAAAAAAAAAAAAAAAAGTCATAGTAACAGATCAGAAGTGGGGCTTTAGTAATAAAGCCATACTATACTATAATCAGTAACAGATCAGAATTTAGGACAAGAAGTACTATTTCCTGGTGTTATTTCTAGCTTCAGATCACTATGTAAATGTTTAAAAGTAGACAAAATATCTGGATGCGACATAGGTAAATCACTTAGACACAGGGATCAAATGGAAATGCAGACCTGAACTCATCTTCATCTGTGTTTCTATGATTCTTAGAGGCAAGACTATAGGCAACAATTTTCCAAATCTACGTTATTGGATGTAATGGCTAAATCAAAAACATCACATTAGAATGTGCAGGTCAATGAGGGACTACATAAAACTTCTTTTGAAGTATTATTGTTCTGCTAATTTTTATGGGCTTTCCTCCTTATCCTATCAAACTTTATAGACCCAAAGGTTGTAATCTGATTGCCTAACTGTAAAAACTAATGTTGATATCAGCCTGCTGAAGTTCATATAAACCTGAGGAAGCTATTCTCCCCAAAAGAAAATTTGAACTGAGATAAGAATTAAGATTTTGAAGAATATATTTTCACCAGAATTCAGTAGGATCATTGAGTTACCTTTTCATTTTCTCTTCAACTAAATGTACAGACACATTAAAGTACCATAACATGAGTGGTTAGAATAAATATAACATAAATGGTAGAATAAATATAATAAATAGAATGATCTATATAAATTTAATCAATATAAATTTAATTTAAAATACCATTTCTAGGATAAAAAAAAGAAGTGCCAAAATGCTCTAAATGATCAATGACATTTACCCTATCATTCAATCATATAATCTCTCATAATTTATCTTACAGTCTCTCTTTAAGCTGTATTATTTTTGACAGTAAGCTTGTCTATTATCCTGTTAAATTGCTGAAGAAGTTTCTGAATCAGCTGATCTGTAATCTATTCAGTGCCCTAAGAATAGGGAGGTGGGGAGGTGGGGCAAGGATATTCCTGGGGAAAAGTGTTCTTACCTGTTCTAATATTGTAAATATGCTGGGAACTGGATATCCCATCAAATAGAGCAATATTACCTAGCAAGAGGTCCTTATTTATCATTTTCTTTTAGCAGATCTCCATGGTTAAAGATGGTTTAATGTGAATAAATCTGGGAGCTACAGAATTCTAAGGCATGGCTCCCTATAAAATGTCACATAGCTGAAGTATAAAATGGAGATGTTTCACAGATGAAACACTTCTCTGCTATCTGCTATCACCCAACAAAATCTTAGTACTTCAAGATCTATTTTTTTCAAGCTCAGTAGTGTGTGTGATGTGGGAAGGAAGGGACTGAGAAACCACTCTCGTAGGCCCAAAATGTTCTTGAAATTATTAGTTAAGCTTGACACCAGATGAGATTTCTGATGAGTGTTAAGTCTGACTTTTAAAATTTTATCAGTGTTTGGTTCTAGGAATCAAACCTATGGCTTTGTGCATGATAAAACATGCATTCTACCTCTGAGCTACATCCTCAGCTGTAAGCCTGATTTAACAATCCTTTGTGTTGCCCCAGGTGCTCTCATAGAAAGATGTCCCATAGAGTAGCAATTTTTTCTAGTTTAAGTTTCTTCTGAATAATGGTTTGGAAGAATCATCTCTAGTTCGGGCTGCATTTTCACAGATGAATGCTTCAATCTGGACAAATTAGTTATACACTAGTTTTGTTTGTACATTCTTTACTTGCGGTGTAGAAAGAGGCAATGCTCATCATTTCCTTTTAATCTTGGAAAGGGTTCTCATCTCACCCCGCAAAAAGGCTTCATGAACTCTAGTGAATAGAGCCATGAAGTTAGTTAACAAGTATCTACATACTATGTTCCATATGCTGTGCTACACACTGATAGAAGTGTGGACAAGATAGTCCCCGCTGTTGGGGAGTAGTCCACTGTTCAGTCTATTCTCAAGGCATTCTTAGAAGTTCAGCAGAAGTAGTAAAGTTGGTAAAAGGAGGATAACAGACAATACCAAAATGCTGCACAAACTATGATGGCTGTATAAGGTTGTATGTCTCAACTCTCTTATCTGTACACTGTACTATCTTGGAAGAGAGTTCAAGCAGGCTTAGTTGGGGGAGTGACCCAAAAGTAACAGGTTGTATTCTGAGTAGATAAAACTAAGGTAAGCTCCTATGTAAGGAAAATTTGAGTGGGAATATTAGGGAATACTCATCCTAAGTCAATATCCATTATTAGGAGTTGATTCAAATGCCAGGTAGACCAAGTACCTATGACAGACTTAAAGGGCCAGGGGAAATCTGGAATTGCGATTCAGGAAACAGCTTGGACCACCAGCAGTAAAGAAACAGATGGGACTTTTCAGAGAACACTGATGAGTCTTTGGGCTATTTAGAGCTAACATCAATTAGTGGTAGGTGCATGTATGTTTTCCTGGGTTATCAAACATCTACAAATCAATCAATGTATGTCTTGAACTATATATTGCATATAAATGATAATTAGCAAAATTTTCATTCATGTGTTTGGAAGCTTTCCTATCATACCTCAGAGGGATTAAAACATGTAAATCTCATAACTACCAAAATAATATCACCTGCCACTAGAGGTCGGACTGCCCTCTGAAGCGAAGGCCCCAGAGCTCAGACGCCTCCTACCAGCTGGTCCAACAGGAATGAAGGGGCCCAGGGCATACTCTGCCTTCTCCCTCTGGCCAGACCGTTATCTCCAAGGAGGAGCCCCGCGTAATCATGACTATAGAGGAAAAAGTAAACAGCCTATTGCTGGACACTTGGTCCTTCTAACTAGTCGCTTGGTCCTTCTTTTCAATCCTGGCCTTCCTTCCAGCCGTCACACCTCAGTGAAAGGAGTCACTGATGAGGAGGTAATCCACTATTTTTCACAACCCTTAGGCTATAACTACTTGTTAGATTTTTCTTGCATATCTTTGTTTTCCTGAGAAATCACTTTCCTGCGAAGATACCAACAAGTGTTACAGCAACCACTGATAATTTCCTACCAATCTGTCCATAACTCTGTAATGTTTGTATTGTTCCTATGCTATTTCATAAATGGACATTTGTTTATTACTATGTGTTTTCAACAACAACCATTGAAAATAGTCAATGATTATTTAATTGATCACTCATGTATAGCTCTATTTGTTTTTCCTAGAAACCACTTTGAAGATACAAAGTATAGTACAACAACCATTGATAATTTTCTACTATTTTTGTCTGTAACTCACTATTATTTGTCTATTTGTTTTCCTGAGGAACTATCTTGAAGATACTAATAGGTAAAAAAACAACCATTGAGAATGTCCTACCACTTTGTCTGTAATTCGGTAAATCCCCCTATTACTACGTTATCCTTCTTTTACTCTTTAAAATTAAAAAAAAAAACACACAAAATAATGTCACCTGGATTTTATTATATCCGAGGAAGAGTTTCTCTAGTTTTGCCAAAGGCTGCAGCTTGCTCAGCTCGCGCACTCTGTTCTCCTCCAGGTGAAGCGCCAGCAGGGAGCTCGGCTTGGAGAAGGCACTGTCGTTAAACGCTCTGATGCGGTTGTGGTCCACCACCAGCTCCTGAAGGACCGCCAAGTTGTCCAGCCCTTCAACTTGGCTGATCTCATTCCCTTAATAAAAAGAATGAAAGATTATCTACTACCAGAACTAAAGGTTATCTACTTTCAAAACATAAACTGATCTTTAACTCCCTTTGCAAAATAACTTCATGGAGCATTCGTATCTCCTCTTCCAATCTCCTAGTGCAACTGTGAACAGTTTGGACTCTTTCTCTCCTCCCTTATACATCTAATCAGTCTCTTGGTCTTAATAGTTCCTCGTTCCAACGTGCCTTTCAGCCTGATCATGCTCATGGAGGCCCCTGTCGTCCAGGCCCTTATGATGTCACTCTTGCTGATAGAAAAATGTGTGCTTGGAAGCCTGGTAGACCTGGGTTTGAAAACACACACTAGCAAGATGTGAGCCAATTATTTCATATTAGTGAGCCTCAATTTCTTTTTTTGTAAAATGCACCCAATAGTACTTACCTTTTAGGGTCGCTGTAATATTAAATGAGATAAACACCTTTGCAGTGACTCCATAAATAGCAATTGCCCTAGACAGAGTAAATTGCCTCATTCCCTCCATAAGGTCGCTTCACTCCTATTTGCCATGCTAGCCATGGCAACTGCACACACTCTCCCTTTACAGTAGGCTAATGGAGACCTTCCCAGGCTAGGTTGTCCACTTTTAGGTATGTCAATGTATCTTAAAAGAATTTGTTGCTTTTGTGCTCAATTGTGTGTGTGTGTGTGTGTGTCAGGCTGTTTCCATGTTCTTGACCAAAATAAGTTATATTTGATAGTCAAAAAGGTACATTAAAATTTTTAAACATAAGGTATAGGAAAGCCCAACTTCCAGGAAAGACGTTACTACACTCAGGCCAACTATCCAGATTCTTCCTCATGTCTTACTGATGGGTCTCCCAACCTTTCTCATATGTCATCACATAATTATTATTAGACTAATGTTCCTCCAATCTAAATTCTATCAGCCATTCAAAAAGTATTGGGTATTCAGGAGTATCTTTCAATTTCTCTTTCTCTGAATTCCCACTACACTTAGGTTAGTACCATCATCAGAACTTAATTCATCTTTTCCTCAGTACATCTCTATAGGTAGATCTCAAACTACTACTTTAGATCAAGGATCTCAATTCTATATAATTGTAAAAATATGCTACTTCCACATATTTCATAACACTTAGCACAGTCTGGGGTTAATAAATGCTTGCAAATTACTGATTACTTTTTATTGCTTTTTAAAGTTGAATATAATACAAAAATAAATAATGATGTAATGTTATATGTAGTCCCAGAATATTATATTTTCCTTCAGATATGTTTTTGAAAATATTTAAATAACCAGAGAAAAACATATTTGTAATTATTAAAATATCTTTGTCAATATCTAAGTAAATGGTGATGTTTTTATTTGCTTATTAAGACAAGATGATAATCAGGTCAGTTTTTAATGAAAAGGATTTAGACATTAACAGTGCTTCTACTCACCCTGTAGAAAAAGAAATTTTAAATTTCTTAGTCTATTAAGTTGTAGCTGGATTAAATTACAAATTCCATTGTAGCCCAAATGAAGAACTTCTAAACTGTGCATTATGGGAGGCAAATTTTCACTGCTCATTGTATCTCTGAAACACATAGGTTAGTTTGAGGCCATCAGTCTAATTTCAAATCAGGTATAAAAAGGTAGTTTGAAACATATTTGTTACAAATTGAAGAAAAAAAATTCATTAATATATCAAAATTGAGCAATAATATATAATGTCTATATTTTGTATCATAATTTTCTATTCTTTAAATATATTTTATATGGTAAGGAATAAAGAAGTACAGAAAGTCACAATGAAAAGCAATAACCTAAAAAAAATAACTATAACAAACAAATTGATAAATACAAGTTGAATATAAAAAAAGAAAAGCAATACCTAATACACTGAGCCAAGAAAAAGAAAAATATAATGCATCCAATTGGAAAAGAATAAGTGTAACTGTCTTTATTCTCAAATGACATGGTTATGTTTTAGAAAATCCTAAGAAATTCACCAAAAACTACTTGAATATCTGAGTTCAGCAAAATCACAAAATCAAATGTTTATATACAAAAATAAACTGAATTTCTAACTGAAAAATTTATTCACAGAAAACTACAACACTACTGAGAGAAATAAAAGAAGATGAAATTAAGTGAAGCAATATTTCACGCTCATGGATTAGAAGACAAAATTATTAAAATGACAATTCTTTCAAATTAATCAACAGATCTGATACAGTCTCTATCAAAATACCATCAGCTTTCCTTCCACCAGAAAATTATCATTTTATCCTACAATTTATAAGGAAAGGCAACTTAGAATTTATAAGGAAAGGCAACTTAGAATTATAAGCAAACAACTTAGAATATCTAAAACATCGTGAAAAAATAATTAAAAATTTACTAATAGTCAAAATGTATTATAAAAGTAAATTTATCAAATTAATACTGGCAAAAAGAGAGACATGTAGATGGATGGAATAAAATCAAGTTTAGAATACAGCATAACATTTAGAGTCAACCTCTTTTCAGCAATAGGGCCACAGCAGGCCAATGCAGAAAGGGACTGTTCTAACCAAAATGGTGCTGGGACGTGCAAAAAGATAGCTTCAGAACTCACCTCCAACCTCACATTATATGTAAAAATGAACTCAAAATGGATCATAGATGTAAATGTAAGAGAAAATCTTAGAACTTTTTAAAGAAAACATGAGAAAATCTTTGTGACCTTAGAATAGGCAAAGAATTATTAGATAAACCTCCAAGAACACAACCTATAAGAAAAAAAATTTGATGAACTGTTTTGTATCAAAATTTAGTTTTTATTTTTATTTGTTATTTTTAATCAACATTTAGACATTTTTTTTTTTTTTTTGGGTTTTTTTCCAGTACTGGGAATCGAACTCACAACCTCACGCTTGCCAGGCAGGCACTGTGCTGCCGAGCTAAATCCCCAGCCCCTAGATATAATTTAAGAAAATAAGATAAGCCATAAACTGAGCAAAAATATTTGTAAATAACATATGATTAATGGCCTGTTATCTTCAATATTTAAAGAACTCAACAATAAAAGTCCAAGACATGTAATTAAGAAAAAGCAACAGATTTAAATACACATTTGACCAAAGAAGATAGAAGACTAAATAAACATCTGAAAATCTGCTCTATAATATTAATTATTAAAGCAATGAAAATTAAAACCACATTGAGATACTACTTCATATCCACTACAATGGCTATAGTGAAACAGACAGCCAATAGTAAGTGTTGACAAGAATATGGAGAAGTTAAAATCCTCATACCCTTTTGGTGGCAATTTAAACCGGTGTAACTACTTAGGAAAATAGTTTGACAGTTTTCTTAACTAGTTAAATATTTAATTACTGTATGACCAAACACTTTCATTCTTAGATATTTACCCAAAACAAATACAATGAAAATATATGTCCACATAAATACTTACACACAACTCTTAATAGCAGCATTACCCACATAGGTTAAAAAAAAAAATGAGAGCATTTTGAACATCAACTGGTGAATGGATAAACACAATGTAGTATATCCATACAGCAGAGTATCCAACACATTCAGCAATGAAAAGGAATGAACTCCTACAAAATGTCACAATGTAGATAGGCTCCAAACCATTATGCCAGGTAACAAAAATCAGGTGCAAAAGATTACATATTATATGGTTCCATCTATATGAAATTTCTAGAAAACACAACTTTATTGAAAGTAGATTACAAGTTATCTAAGTCTAGAAGTGAGAAAAGGAATTGACTGAAAATGACACAAAGGATCTTTCTGGTGGGATGGCAATGCTATAACACTGTATTGCAGCAACGGTCACGTATCTCTTTAAATTTAAAAGTATTGAATTATGTACATTTAAAATGAGTTAACAGGGCATGTAAATTCTACTTCAATAAAAATGTTAGAAAAATCAAATAAAGGGGCTGGGGATTTAGCTCAGCGGCAAAAGCGCCTGCCTGGCATTCGCAAGGTTGTGAGTTCGGTTCCCGGTACCGGAGAAAAACAACAAAAAAAAAACAAAAAAAAAAAAAAAAAAAAAAAAAAGAAAAATCAAATATGAATACCCCCAATATAAAGGACATATATAAATAAAACATTCATGGCAGGATGAATCATAATGGCCTCAAACTGGAAACAACCCAAATGCCCATTAGAGATAAGTGAATAAATAATTTGTCATATAACTTATATAATAGGAATACTACTTGTAAATATTCAGATGAACAAGGGGAGTGTGGTATTTATACCCAGTGGAGTACTACTCAGCCATAAAGTAGGATAAACTTGAGTTATTTGTAAGAAAATGGATGTACCTGGAGACTATGATATTAAGTGAAATAAATCAGACATACAAGCTTAAAAGTCATGGAATTTCTTTTATGAGAATTCCAAAATATAAATAAAGAGCAAACAAATGATAGGTAACAGGAAACAGACAGATAGATCTTTTCCAAAAGAGAGTGGGACCAAGAAGTGGAGGAAGGGTGAAAGGGGACAGGGAGGGAATGAAAAACTACTGAGCTGTGTTATGTACATGTACCAACTCCCCCCAAGGAATACAATCATTATGTGCTGCAAAATGGGCTAATAAAAAACAGAAGTTGAGATAGAAAACAAGAAAATAAAATGAATTACCAACACTTCCAACAACATGGATAAATCTCAAAAGCATTATTTTAAGTGAAAGAAGCCAGACTCAGAAGGGTACTTACTTTGTAAACTCATTCTTAAGAAATTCTAAATCAAGGCAAAGTCACACTGACAGAAAATAGAACATTGGTTTTTGTCAAGGACAAGGTTAGGAGGGGAGAGCATCACAAAGAGATATGAGGGAACTCTTTGGGATGAGAATATTTTGTATCTTGATTGTCACAGTAGTAGTCTGGCTGAATATATTTGTCAGCATGTTTTAAACTGTACCCTTATATTGTAAACTTAAACTGGTGAATTCTACAACAATGTATGTAAACAGTATCCCAATACAGGTGACAAGCGTAAGAGATGTTCATTACTGGGAAATCTGGAAGTGAAAGTATTCTGACTCGCATATATCTCAAAGTTCAATAGTTATATACATGCATAAAACAAGTTTAATGAAGCAACTATCAGAGTGATACATATGTATAAGAATATACAACATGCATATATAATAAATATAAGGGTATAAGAAGGTGGGAATTATGTTCTCATCTTCATAAAGTATCTTTTCCACTGAGCTGGGGCATTATGTGTCAGATAATAATTTAGAAATGAAGTCAAATGTTGAAAGAATTCCATGTCTACACTACTTGAATAAGGGATTTCTTTGTGGCAGGATGAAAATGTTCTGGAATTAGTAGTAATGGTACCTAACTTGTAAAAATACTAAAAATCATTCCACTGTATGCAAAGGATGAGTTATATGCCATGTAGATTGTATCTCAATTAAAAGAAAGAAACCCTAGATCATTAAACATACAAGACTTTCTGTTTTTCCCTCACTTGTAAATACAAAGTGGAGGAAGGAGAGGAAAAACAATGACAAAAGGAATAGTTTTAGTATGTTTTTATTTGTGAGGTTTGTTTTTGGCATGTAGCTACTGAATAAAACAATTACTAAAAGAAGCTAAATATATGCACTAGAATGTGTTACTTCTTTCTAAAATTTCAACTAAAAGTTTTGTATAATAAAAAGAATAACAGAGTAGTACCTGCTTAGTTTTGAAGTGCCTTGCTGTCCATACCCGCTTGAAGACACTTTCTGGTAGAGTATCTGTCTGTTTGTCAAGTGAGTCTGAGGCTTTAGTTTAGGCATGATTGACTCAATATGATTATAGTTGAGGCATAAGACCTATGGAAAGAACACTGCATCAATCAAGCAGCCCATAAACTAGTAAAATAATATGGATATAATTTGGGATATGCAAAATAGTAACATATTCATGCTGAAAATAAGATAACAGCGCTGCAAATAAAATAATAAAGACCCTCGAAAGGTACCCAGCTTTATCAGTCTGCACTCCTAATGCTCTAAGCCTGATATGGAGGAGAGAACCCTTTAGAGAGAAAGCTGGTCTCCTACGTTTAAAGGGCTGTTATGGTTTATGTCTGTATGTCCCCCCCAAAGCCTCATGCGGCCATGGATCAGGCTTCTAGAGTATGATTAAGGGTGTGACAGCTGCACCCGCCCTGGGGTGGACACTTTGCATATGTAAGGGAGAGGAAGAGAGTGCTTGAGGCCATTCCTCCCCCATTTGGCCCTGGTGTGTGGTTGTTGCTTTGCTGTGTTCTGCACCAGGAGCTGTAGCCCTCTGCCATGTGCCAGTCTGCCTTGTAATATGCCAAGTATGGACTGAAACCTCCACAAACTGTAAGCGAAATAAACCTTTCCTTCCTTCATTTTGGGCATCAGGTATTTTGTCCTAGCAATGACAGAAAAGTAACCGAGACAAGGGCCTTGTAGATGAATTGAGGCAAGAGGAAAGAAAGCAATGAAGCTGCTGTAGGAATCAGAGTGTTCCCGTCTTCATATTATACCTTCCACTGCACAGGCAGTTTTCTCTCCCATCTCTTACTGTAGAGTAAGACAATCACGTACATAAAACTAGAGTCAAATAAAAATAACTTTGGAAGGAAACACTTTTATTTGCTTAGTCAAAAACAAAATAAAACAACAAAAAACATTTGTAGGTGACTCACTTTCACATGAGGCAGGTAGATTAGTCCACTGAATGAGGTAAGATTATTGTTCTGCAGATTCACATTACACACATTTCTAAATTGGTCAACTGGAATCAAATCCACAGTTCTAAATTTTGAGAAAGTAAGTACAGTAATTTGAAATGGATCAGAAAATATAGAAAAAGGTAGATCCTTTATATACAACTGCCACTGGCATTACAAAATCTCACTTGATAAATGCTATGAAAATAATTTCCTTAATGTAAAATGTCAGGGTTGAGTGATTACCTAAATACACATTGTGTTGGGCACATATGTAAGAAAATGGCATACACATTTTATTTTATTTGATTGCTTTCTCTTACCACATAAACACAGTGGTATTATAAAAGAAACATAAAATAAGCATGCCAATTGATTTACAAATTCATTTTACATACATCTTCATGAAATCATAGTGAACTGATATGAAAAGTTGTAAGATTTTCAGGTTATAAAAGTCAGAGGACATATGTGAAATAGGTTATTACTGAGATGCCAGGACTGGGATAAGATTGGGAAAGAAAAGGAAAAGGTACATAAAGTCTTTGAAAATGAAATTTTGGGGGGGATACCCTGAAACTTTTATGGCAATCCACTTTGTCAGGATGTTCTGGCAACTAACCAGAATGCTTAATTCTTAGTCCATAGTTATAGAACGACTCTGTCTTCTCTTCATGACAGAGAAGAGCATAGTGCTAAATCACCTTCCTCTGGCAACTTTTTAAACAAATCTTATATTTGTAGTTATAATTATAGCATATATTCATCCATTAACAAGTCATTTATTCATTCAACATATTTTCATTAACATTTCCCAAATGTAGATAATATGTTAGGAAAGCTACAATATAGAAAAAAGGAACTGTATCTGTTCTCAAGAAGTGAGAGGAGAAAAACTAAAATGCAAAAGAATATTATTGAACAGAGTTAGATGTAATAGCATTTTATAGAAAGAAAGCTTCTTTGAAGAAGTCAAGAATAATATTACAGAGGAGAAAGATTTTGAGGTGAGGCCTAGTGGATTTAAATGTATCTGCCAGGCAAATAACGAGGAAAGAGCTCCAGATAGTGCAATAGACACAAAGGCAAAGATCCGGGCACTAGTACATTTTACAGTTTCTGCAACGAAGTGGCATAGGCAGTGAAGGAAAGGATTACAAAAGATGAAAGTTATTCTATGCCATACAAGGGCATTAAAATTTCACTCTGTAGACAATGGAAAGGATACTGACCAATGCTGAGAAGGGAATTAATGTGATAACTTGTATCTTAGAAGGCAGTAATGGATAACAAATGGGTTTTAAGGGAAAGTTTACATAAGACAACAAAAAAAAACACCAACAGGGTTTCTAAAATAGTCCAATACCAAGTGCAGTGACTGTGGAAAGACAGAGGAACTCAGACATATTTTAAACCTGAACAGAACATGGTGATGACTAAAAATGAAGGACAAGAGAGAGAAAAGAATGACTTTTTTGGCCTGGGTAGCAAGCAGATGTCTCTTAGACACTATTTAGAGAGCAACTGAATGTTCAGGTGAAAAGCCAGGGTTCGGGCTAAAAATAGTAAATTTAGAAATCATCATAAATTGCAACTATGGCTAACGATAAATCTCCTTAGGAAGAGCATAGAATAAGAAAAAGAGAAAATGGGAAGAAAATCATGGGAGCAGAAGGAAAGACAACAGGAAGAGCTGAGAATAAAAGTCAGAGAGCACCAGAAAGAATTCATGAAGAAACCTGAAAAGTTTATAGGAAAACTAAGAATGTGAAATTATTTTTGAAGGGGGGATTGATAAGTACAAAGCAAGAAAAGTCAGCATCCTTATATGTGCCAGAAAGGTCAGGGAGACAGGAAGTAAGAACAGCCCCCTCGGCCTGGCAACACGAGGACAGTGATAACATCCAGAACAGGAGAAGCAGAGCTGCGATGCCAGCGAAGCGACAGCACACTGGATTAGAGCAGCGAGATGTAAGCAGCGGGGCCTGTTCCTTTTGTTTCTCTCAATTTATGGTAGAAGGAACTTTTTTTTTTGGGTGCCAGGAATCAAACTCAGGACCTCACACTTGCCAGGCAGGCACTGTGCCACTGAGCTATCTCCCCAGGCCAGTAGAAGGAAATTTTTGAAAGAGGCACTTTATATTTTACATGTAACCAGCTGTATCTCTCTTGTGGGTTTTCAGCCATTCCTTTTCTTTGGCCATTGCAGCAAAGTGAAGCAAAAACTGGTCTGCTGCCAGGCTGGCCTCCATTCATTAACTGCATAATCTGCGCAGGCCTCCTCTCTTGCTGGCTCCCATTTCTCTCTAAATCCAGAGGTTCCTTTGAGCCACTGGCTTCCACATTGAACTCTGAGCTCTGAGAATGGTAACTGGGGGCCATGGTATTGTTGGTGAGGCTCTGGAGATCCATACGTTAGATCTGTCTGGAGCCTAACATTCAAGTCTAGGGTACATGTTTGAGGATGCTGTTGTAATTAATAATGTGCAATTAAAAGTGCTATGGTATTGTTACTAATTTTTATTTTCATAATTAAAATGTAACAATTTTGTATTAGAAAAGATATGAATGGCAAGCCAATAGTATTTAGTTGTAAAAGAGGATCAGCTAATATAAGAAAGAAAATGGTGACATTTTAAATCACAGTCTCTGATAATAAAAATTATTAATACATTTCAAAGCATAGTGAAGTTAGCATGAGATTTGAATCAGGGTAGATGAGTTATTTGTTATGTTTAGATAAGATATATAAATATATGGATATCAGAAAATGACAATTATATATTTAGTTGTAATATCAAAAATCATGCAAAATGATTATACCTGAGGGATGATGAAGTCCAATTAAGTTCTTGCATTTGGATAAAGTTTGAATGCCCTTGTCTTTCTGCAATCATATCAGAAGTAAGTCGGCCACCAAACAAATCTTTTGCACACTCAGTCTCTGGTGTTTCCTATATAAATATATTTAGAAAATTATGTCCTCGCTTATAGATGATGAATTCTCTGGTTCTTGGTAAAACTGAGTGGACTCATCTCTCTCTCTTCCCCTGTTATCATTCAGAGCTACAACGTCCCCCGCAAGTCTCGTGTGCGTGTGGAAGGTGACTGGATCAGCAGGGCTCCATACTCATCCGTGGATTTATTCGTTGATGTGTTCAGTACCTCACTGTGCCATAAGCAGGTAGGGCCTTGTTAGAGGTGGTCACTGGAGGTTGACCTGGAACAGAGTACTCTTATTCCCGGCCCCTCCTCTCTGTCTTTCTCTCTTTCTCCCTCTCCCTCTCTCTCTCTTTCTCTGTCTCTCTCTCTCTCTCTCTCTGCTTTTTAGCTGCCATGCATTGAACACCTCTGCCTCCTTCGTGCCCCTCTGCCATGCTGTTTCTGACTTTAAGCCAGACAACTACGAACTAAAACTATTGTAGTGTCAGGTATTTTGTCCCAGCATCTGGAATGTAACTAAGTCATCCTCCTACTAAGTACAGTGAACATTCCTGTGCATTACATATAAACCAAGCATAAGAGTACTGAAAAGTGCAGAGAAGGAAGACCAGCTAGGGACCCTGGGACCTGAGAAATGATACCATGGATTTTCTTTTTGTCTTATATTGTTAGACTGGATGATGGGAGTAACCAGAAACATCAACAAGAGAAAATAAAACAAGCACAGAGAAAGACCTCCTTTCTATAGTGAAAAGACTTTGAAAAAGACTTTCACAAGACAGAAAGCTTTCCAACAATAATAGGTCTACTCCAGCTAAACAGCATAATAATAAAAGCAAAATAGGCTGTTCACACTTGCCCACCTCTACACGATAAGGCATTTCTCTATCCTCCCCATGATGAGCATCAGCTTGGACTTTTATCTTCTCCCAGCAGTAAGTGCACCCCCATAAACAAAAACAAAAATAAATAACAAAGCATTACTGAGATCACATGGTGAGAATGGATTCCCATTTATGCCCCGTAATAATGAGGTCCCTGTGGAACACTGTTGAGGCACTCTTGCCTCCTCTCTCGAGGATAAGTGAATCAAGAATAGTAACAAGGAGTCTCTTCCCTTCCAGCCAGAATGAATTGATAGAGGCCTGGTAGGAAGCATGAACTCCCAACCCAGTCCGACAGTTAAGGAAGCATACACCTTGCGTTGTCAAGACAGCCAAGATGGAGAATTGGGGTTTCTATCTCAGACCTGACAGCAACAAAGTGGTGCTACAGCTTCTGGTGCAATGTTAAGACAGGTTTGATAAAACAAAGTATTTCAGTAAGTTCTACAGCCTATGAAAACAACCAAAATGTCTAGACTAAAATAGGAAAATCTCTCATTATACCAAGAACCAAGATAATCTCAAATTGAGTGTAAAAATGCAATCAACAAAAAGTAGCTCTGAAGCAACACAGATATTTTTAACTATCCAACAAGGATTTCAAAGCAGCCACCACAAAAATGCTTCAAAAAGGAATTACTAAGTATACCTGAAACAAATGAAATAAAATAGAAACTATCAGTAAACAAAAAGTATCAACCAAGAAATAGAGGATATGAAGAAGAATGAAGGAAAAAAATTAGAACTGAAAAAATACTATGACCAAATAAATGCAATGGATGGGCTCAATAGATGAATGGTGACCAAGTGCTTCTTAGCCTTTTGGCTAAGATCAAGTATGAATGGTGAGAAAAGGGGAGTTCATGAATTTGAAGACAAAACAATAAATAGAAATTAGCCAATATGAGCAAGAAAGAAAAAGTGAGCTTCTCCTTACCACGACAGAGCATATGCTGGATTTGTGGGACTAGAAACAAACATTTAACATTCATATCACTGGAGTCATAGAAGGAGAAGAGAAATAGGGTAAAGCTGAAAAGGCATTCAAAGGAATAATATCTGAAAACTTTCCATATTTGGCAAAAGACATAGACCTAGAGATTTAGGAAACTGAGAAAATCCAAAACACAAAATTCCTTAGAGCATTGCAAGGACACATAATCATAACCAAATTTCTAAAAATTAATGATAGAAAAAATCATGAAGGCAGTGAGAAAAGAATAAGATCTTGCCTATAAGAGGAAAACAATTTGAATGACAGATTTCTCAACAGGAATCATGGTACCAGAGGATGTGGCACATTTTTCAAGTGGTAAAGTAAAATGAAAGAACTGTCAACCAAGAATCCTATATCCAGAGAAAATATCACTCACAAATAAAAAGGACAAGACATTTTCAGATGAAAGAAAACTATGCAAAATGTCACCAACAGCCCTGTCCTAAAATAGCTAAAGGAAATTCTTGAAACAAATAAATAGAATTTTAGAATACTAGGAAGAAAGAAGGCATAATAGGGTTTCCTGCTGGTACAATATTTCTTAAATTTCTTTGAATGAATTAAAATAGAAAACAATAATATTATCTGATGTAGTTCTCAAATGTATTACTAACAGTGGGGAAGAAATAACCTTAAAAAGAAGTAAAATTTTTACTCTTCTCCCAAACTGGCAAAAAATGTCAGCAGCATGAGACTTTTATCTACAGGTAATATTGACAGCAACTACTAAAATATATAGAGAGATATTCATTAAAATACTATAGATAAGTGCCAGGGACATAGCTCAGGGGCACAAGCACCTGCCTGGCAAGCACCTGCTTGGCAAGCAAAAGGTCTTGAGTTAAGTTTCCAGTACTGAAAAAAAAATTTTACAGATAAAAATAGAATTCTAAAAAAATTCACCTACTTATAGGAAGGTAAGAAAAACAAAACAGAAAAAAAGATAACAAAGCAAGGAAACAAATACAAAACAAAAATTACAATGACAGACTTAACCCCTACATTAAATATGAATGGTCTATATTCACCAATTAAAGATAGAAACTGGCAGTAGATCAGGAAATATGATCCAACTCTATGATATGAATGAGAAACTTCAAACATAATGTATATGCAGGTTAAAAGTAAAAAATATGGCACAAAATATACCATGTTCACATTCATGAAAGGAATGCAGAAGTGGATATATGAACTTCAGATAAAGTAGACTTCAACCAAGAAATGGAGGAAAGGAGGAAGGAAGGGAGAGGAATAAGATGAAAAAAAATTGAGATGTGTGATGTACATTTACCAACACACCCTACAATGAATGTAATCTCATGTACTGCAAACATGTACTAATAATGTTTTTTATTTTTAAAAGTAGACTTCAAACCAAAGAAAATTACCAACATTAAACAGAAAGACATTAACTACTGATGAAAGGATCAATCTATTAGGAAGACACAAAAATCCTAGATACATATGCACCAAAAAACAAAGCTCAAAATATGTGAGGTGATAATCCCTAGTCTGTTAAACTAATCTAGGCGTTGCTGCATAGGTATCCTGCAGATAAAATTAAAGCTTCTAATTAGTTGATCTTTAATAAGGAATCCATCTTAGATAATGTTGATGGGCCTGATGCAAGCTAAGGCTTGCCAAGGCCTGAAACCAAGTGAGGCTTCTTTGCTTTATTTTTTTGGTTTATTTTTTTCAATTCCGAGAATCAAACTCATGACCTTGCACTTGCTAGGCAGGCGCTGTGCCACTGAGCTAAATCCCCAGCCCCAAACTGAGGCTTCTTAAAAGATAAAAAATTCATCTATGCACAGCAGATTTTTTTGTTTGTTTTTTTCTGGTACCAGGAATCGAACTCATGACCTTGCGCTTGCCAGGCAGGTGCTGTGCTGCTGAGCTAAATCCTCAGCCCCTGTGCACAGTAGATTTGAACCATGGTTGTAAGCTGCAACCTGCCCATAATTTTCTTTTTTTGATGCCCTGCCATATACATTTTGGAGTTGCTTAGGCAGCAATTTTTAAGTATCCATTTGTATGTGCATATGTTTATGTATTAATATAAAATACAATATTTACATTGTATATTTTGTATATATTAAAATATACACATATTTCCCCATGTTGCTAGTTCTGCTTCTCTGGTTGAATCTCAAATAATACAACCTCAAAATTACTTTTAAAAAGCATACTAATTTAGCTCTTGTATTTTCATAATCATACAATCAATATTTGATTACTGTCCTAAATCAGGGACTGGTAATTTGTTCTGTATTCATCCAGTAAAGAGTCAGTCAATACAATAGGCTTTGTAAGTAATAGATTCTCTGTTAAAACCATTTAATTTTGCCATTAGGGCATAAAAGCAGTTATGCGCCATAAACAAGCTTAAATAAGCAATGAAATTTTACTTACAGGTGGTAGACCATATTTTAGACAAATAGCTGAACTTGACCTAACTAAAAGTGATTATATTAATCTAATTTTATTCAAACTCCTTTTTATTTACTTTATTAAAACATCATATTTGAGGTGAAGATATATATTCCTAATGCAAAAATAATCTTTTAAAAATAAATGTAGAAGAGTAGATAAAATTACACAACTACTGAAGCTACTGCTTGGCCCCTCATAGTCTGTCTTTCCTTGGTTTCCACTACCATTCAGAAGAAAACAATGTGATTCTATATCTAGAGAATTTTGCACAGAGAATGGGCCTCAATTGTTCATGATTTACCAATAAGGAGTTGTGTAACTTTGAAACAAGTTATATAACTTCTCTGTAGTTTCCTGTGCTTATCCACTGATAAATGATTTGGTCCATGTCCTTCTGAAGTCTATATACATCTCAAAAATTATGGACTTATAATGCTCCTTTATATCCCTCTGTTCACTTTTCATAGCTTCTTTTCCTCTTTGTTTCCTATTGAAAGCTTAAAGCCTCACTTAGATTATTTTTCTTTTTCTACTCGCTTTCTTTAGACAGTCCGATGCATTAATTTGGTTTAACTCTCAAATCTCTTCATATTACTTTTAAATCTAAACACATGTAAATTTCCAAACCTGTTAAGGCCTGTGACTTCAACTGCCTGCTTAACATCTCCAGTCAGATTACCTACTATCGTACCAAAGTTAGTGGGTCCAGCTGGGTGTGCTGAGGCCAGCCTAAACTACAGAGTGAGACCCTACTTCAAAAAACAAAAATAAGTAAATAAATAGATCTTAGTGTGTCCAATACTAATCATTTTATTCCTGAAAACTGCTTTTCTTCCTGTACTCATATTCTCTTATGGCATCTTTTACTGGCATAGACTCCCACCTTGTAGAGCTTTGGAGGTTTTACTTTCCTTGCCTTCCAAATCCAAAGGGTTGGCAAATTCTGTCAGTTTCGCCCAGGATTTCTCACACATCTCAGCTTCTGTTTTTAAAGTCCCCTGGCTTGGGTTTTATTACTTACTAGATTATCCTAATAAATTGGCTTTTACTACTCTTCCCTCTACCACTGTAAATACTGCTGTTCAATTCACTTTCTTAATACAAAGTTCTAAACATATCATTCCCATAATCTTCAATACATTCCCATTGTCTCCATTTAAAGTCTAAACTCTTCTGTCTAGATTTCATGTCCATTATTAATTCATGCATTTATATCATACCTTATTGCACAAAGAATTTGTGGCAACTCACAGAAAATACAAACAATCAAACAGTAAAGTACAAATCATAAATAAAGGTCAAGACTAAGAGCAATGTTAGAATAGATAAAAACCAGGGTTAGGGTCAGAAAGACTAGACTGTAAGATTTCACTAGGCTTCTAATATTGAATCCTAAATTTGTTACCAAGCCTTTAGGGGTTGAAGTGAAAAGGAAAATAGTTAAATAACACTCATTATCAGTGAATGGAACACAATATTCCCTTAGCAGGAAAGAGGTTTTTTCCTCATGCTTACCTCTAAAAGCACTTTCTTGGATGACCTTTCAAATAAAGACCCAGAGGTAGGAAGAATAAGATCTTCAACAATATTTTTAGAACAAGTGCAGTACTAGCTTCATGTGACTATTTTAAAAACAATCCCCAGTGAAAGCTAACGATTAAATGAAACCTAGTCTTTCAAACTAGAGAATCTGTGTTTATTGGAATGAGGATGGTTTAGATTTGCTATTGTGAGGAGGGTCTTGAAAAACTCAGGGCAGTGACTAGCAATCTTTTCAGAGCAACGGAGTATGAAATAATTGTGAATCTCTCAATTTTGCAGAAAACTTGATGAGTTTTATTGTCTGATGGGCACTCTCTTTCAGGTACTTACCCTGTTACATGGAAATCAGGAGCTGTGGATGAACTTGCTTAGAGAATCCAAGTCTCCAAATGTTGCTTTCATACCCAGTCCTTAATTCTGTTTTTCTTTACCATTTGCTGGTAACATTGCCATACTGTATTTGTTGGTTCAAATATAGTTTCCTTAACCTTTAACAACTGTATTTTTTCAGGAAATAGCAGGCTGCTTTTAGGCCCAAGAGGATGGTGGGGCTCTAGAGCTCAGCTTTTCTATCCTGTCCCATATAGGTGTGCTCTTCATTTGTGGGCTTTCAATTCTCTGTACAAATGTATGTATCATCTTCTTTCTCTTGCTATCTAAATTTAGATAACTAAGAATTGGACAGATGAAAAATTTTAAAATCTAGATCTAAAAGGAGCTTTGGACACAGATTTTAATAAGCATAGTAAGGTGTGGTATCATGTTAGTGATAAACCTATGTTTATCAAACCAAATTATCACAGCCGAAGAATACGTGAACCATACACCTTAGACCAAATACTATCAGGCATTAAAAACAACTTACAATTGAGATTCCATCCAAAGCTTTCAGTTCTGGAAGATGATATATTACAAACAACCTGTAGTTTTCTTGATTCCATACAATAATGTTCCCATGCATGTCTAGAATGACCAAGTTGCATAAACCCTAGGTAATATAAAGATAAACATTTATATCTCATACACTGTCTCACACTCCAGCAAGTTTTTTTTCTTTTAAGAAGCTAACCATCCTTGAGTTATTTGAATTACCTAGAATTTTATAGAATGTGATCTTTATTTTGATTTTTATTAGTATATGCTTGCAGAACATAATGATTACATTCATTGTGGGGAGTTGGTAAATGTACATAACACATCTTAATTCTTTTTCATCCCCTTTCCTTCTCCTCTTCCCCATCCCTCTGCTCTTTGGCAAAATATCTATTCGTTTATTTCCTATTATCTATATTTTATTCTTTAATTTACTTATATTTTAGGTTTCTCATATAAGAGAAACCATATATTTAAACTAATGTGTCTGATTTGTCTCACTTAACATTGGTCTCAAGGCACATCCATTTTCTGACAAATGACTCAAATATATCCTTCTGTATAGCAAAACAAGGATGTTATTTGTTAAATTGCATATAAATGGCACATTTTCTTCATCCATTCATCTGTGGATGAACATATTGGCCACTTCCAAGATTTAGTGATCATGAATTGTGCTGCTATAAATATGGGTATGCATGTACCCTTGTAATATGGTATCTTCAACTATTTGGGGAAGATAGCTAGAAAAGGAATAACTGGGTCAAATGGAATTTTTAGTTTTAGTTTTTTTTTTTGTTTTTTTTTTTTTAGGAATCTCCATATTGATTTCCATAGTAGTCGTATTAGTTTACATTTCCACCAACAACATAGCGGGGTTCCTTTTACCCTGCAGCCTTTCCAGCATTTATTATTTGATTTCTTGATGATAGCCATTTTTTCTGCAGTGAGACAGAATCTCAGTGTTGTTTTTATTTGCATTTTTCTGATGGTCAGTGATGTAGAATTGGAGTGTTTTTAAGAGTGCTTTTAAATGCAAGAGCTATCCTTTCACACTGCTGTGGTATAATTTTGTATAATATGAGCATTTCAGTGGTCTAAGTTACATGATCAGAATCCTTTTTAGGATTGGCACTGTAAGTATTATTTACCAGAGGTAAAGGCTTAGAGGGAACATTGATATATTTAGGACAAGGCAAGGGGCAACCAAAATGTGAAACTTTTACAAATGTTTAATTTAAAAAATTTATTACAGTAAAAGCCATTACATTAATCCCCCTCAAAATATTTCTTCTTGCTTCAGGTACACCTATCACATTGTTCTTGCTGCTTTCTGAAGCAGTTCAGGAAGTCCTCTTACATGTTTTTACAAAGTGGAGTAAAAAATTCAGTGAATAATGTTGCTGAGTGCGGTCCAATGAAAAGGCAGGATCATGAAAACATTACAAGGCGTTCTCATCCAACTTATTCATAGGATCTGGTACCATGAGACTTTTTGCTCTTTCCCAAAGTCAAAATAACCATGAAAAGGAAACTTTTAAATCAATTCAGGCTCACAAGGCACCATGACAGCACAATTAAGACACTCTTAAAAGAGGACTTCTAGAGCTGCTTTGGAAAGCCACAAGAACAATAGGATAAGTGGGTTTGAAGCAAGGAGGAATATTTTGAGGGGGGATTAATGGTAATGTGTCTTTTACTGTAATAATTATTTTAAAAAATTGTTAAATATTCACTGTATTTTCCAGTCACACTGGATATACTTTGCTAATGGCCTGTTAGATAGTATGTATGTGAGTATACAGATATAACAGGAATGAAAGACACTGCCGTTTGAAAAAATAGGATAAAACTAGAGTGCTTTTGTCTTTTAAGGAGGGCAGTAAAATTCACTGAGGGAAAATGTGTTTTCTTATTAAGCCAGACTTTTTGATGTATTTTTGCTGTAAAGACAGGACCTTAAGTAGATGAGAAGAGGAGAGGTTAAAGCAAGAAGGAGTAAAGTCTCTGTGTCATCATGGGAAATGGGTTTTTTGTTACTGATGCTGATGGCTGGGTTGTTTCTGTAACTTTAGAAGTTATATCGGAAGAAAAGAATGGGAGACGCCTGCACATGTGGAAAGACAGAAAACTGACATGGTTCTTGATAAGAGATCAGAGTACTAGGAATATGGTATTAGCAAAATGAGAGGCTAGAATCAGACTCACAGAGGGAGGAAGTGGGCATTGAATGTAAGAAACAATGAACCCGCACAGTACTGTATATTTTAAGTAAACTCCTAGTCTGCACTGTAGGAAATTTTCAGTGAAGGCTGTTGCACAGTGCCCTTAACTTCATGGTTCCCTCCCTCAGGGAAATTAAGGAGAATAAATCTGAGTAAAAGTGACCAGAAAGAGTTGGAACCACTGTTTGGAACAGTAAGAGAATCAAGAGTTGTACTGACAGAAGACAATGTTAGAGAATCCTCTCCCCCTACCAGACTGGGGAATCTTGGCATTACTGAAGACGTACTTGTTAGGGGGAATGGGTTTGTTGTTCCTTCCAGTATGAAAAAAGTTACCCCAGAAACTTATCTAATTGTGATCTTTATGGTTACAGGCACACACGCACACACATACATACATACACACACATATATGTATATATGCAGAATACATGTTTGTTAACTATGTTATTCTTATTTTAATTATCTTATATATTTTTTTCTACAATTTGCAAATTCTGCACAGTGAATGTATGTTATTTTCATAGTATAAACAATAAATGTTTAAAAAAACACAAAGAATTAATACACCAGCTGGTCACCTTTAAATTGTAGATCTCCTGATTGACAGCAATGTAATTATTGCTTATATATAATTCGATTAGGGTAAAGGTCTTCTGTAAAGCACTCAGTGAAGTAATTCTGTTGTTCTCAAGAGAAAGGAAGTGAAGGTGAAGCGTGTTATCAAAAGTATGCTTTTCCAAACCAGTGAGAAGGTTGTTATTGATACTGAGGCGGGTTAATTTAGTCAGCTTGGAAATGCCTAGAAAACAACAGATAAATTCAAGGAAAAATGCATGTGCCTCTGAAAGGCTGATTTTAAAAATAACTGACTGGTGATTTCACTGTAACACTCTAAGTTCCAACAGTTTAAAAGATTCTATAGTATTAACCATCATTGCTTTTCCTTTTGTTTCAGAAGGACACAACCTTGTGTGCAGACTCCCATGCCACACACCATGTTTTAATTTTGTATTTCTAAGTAGATCTGTTGTTCTAATTGTTAAGAAAAAGCACTACAAAAGAAATACTTTTTTTCCTCTCAAATAACTTTTAAAATAGTGTACTTAATTAAGACTTTCACCTTCCTGACAACACAAAGCTCCAAATAAGTATTACTCCATGTTTTAAAACATTCAGGGTAAGAGCTAGAGTACAAAACTCAGGACTGTGATTCATTATGAAATCATCTGTATTAAGAGAATTATCTAGCCTACTTTTGCCATTGTATGCTTGGAAGCGCTCTAAGATTGAAGTCCTGAAAATGACACCTCTTTCCAGGACCTGCTTCTGCTGATATTATATACTTAAGCCCTTTTAATTCGTAGGCAGGATAGCTCAGGTGAAGAATAAGAATGTTGGAGTCAGAGTTGGTTTCAACTAGGTTTGGGATGACAGATACATTTCGTAACTTCTGAGCCTCAGGTTCCACGTTCGTGAAAGAGACACTAAAATGTACTTCTAAGAGGTTATGGAAATAAATGGAGTGATTTTTGGAAAGAGAGAATAAGAGGAGGTGTTAGTAAGTCATAGAAGATTTAGTTCTATTTCTTTCCAGATTCACAATATTGAATAAGGGTAAGAATACAACAAGGCTGGGAAAAAGTTTAAAATAGATATATATTCTAGAACATGTACTCTAAATCTTGGTGGAAGGAGGCACAAAAAGTCCCTTTTATTCTCCTTGGCCCAGAAAGACATGTTTTAATGAACTTTAAACAGTCAAAATATATTGGTCTCATTATTTTTGAGACATTACCTAAAGCTATTTAACTGTATTTGTGGATGCATATAAAAGCTATATATAGGACATTTGATTTCAATCTCCAGAAAATATAGCTTTTATTTTTTTTAAAGTCTTAACATTTCCAAATGTGACCTTAATTTCATATTTTGAAAAATTAACTAGGCTGTTTTATCTTTTTCAAAAAATGCCTCATCGTCAATTTATGGACCTGTATCCACTAGGTTTTGGTAACGTGGGAACCCCTGGGACACAGTACAAGGGCAGAAATCAGCTTGCTAAATAAACTAGTTTGCGACAATCCCACCTGACAGATATTTAGAATCTCAGCTGAAAACTTTCTTGAAACTCCTGTAAAGCTCCTCCTCAGTGTGATTAATTTTTCATGAGGGCTACTTAGACATTCACGCTTTGAGATTTCAAAGTTCTCAAGTGCCTTACCTTCGATCTTTGAGATGCAGTTTCCATTGAGTGTGAGCTCTTCCAGGTTAATACAGGATTCCAGGCCCTCCATTTTAGTCAGATTATTATTGCTGAATGATGCCCATTTCAAATTTTCCAATTTTTCTAAATTTTTTATTTCAAAGAGATGCTGTCCATCTAAATTTAAGGCAGTTATCTATACAATAATTCACATTATGTTACTTCTGAATCTTGTAAATAAATTCAATCAATAAGTTTTTAAAAGGTCAATGAAATAATAATTCAAATTTGATAAATATAAACCCTGCCACCTTTTTGTCAAAAAAGGAGGAAATTGAGGTTGACAGACATGACTTTGAACAGGTAATTCTCCATACATATACAGCTAGAAAAAACTTACTAGACATACCCGTTGCTAGCCCTGATTTGACCCTTTTCTGCAATGGCAGCTCCTTCATGGACAATGAGACAAGGAAGGCAGGATATACAGTGGTAACTTTATATCAGACTCTTAAAAGTTCCTCACTTACACCTGGGACTAGGGCTCAGCTAGCAGAGCTCATAGCTTGGGGCTTATCCTCTTTATAGGAAGCCATTACTAGCTCCACTTGGTGGAAATCTTTGTTGACTACAGTCATAATAATTCTGCTGATATTATTTGGCCCATGCATACTTAATTGTTTCTTTGGCTTTGTCTCCTCCAGATTAAAAGCTATACATATCCAAGATGAAAATGCCTGGTGTCTATAGAGGGCCTTTAGATAGACCCTCTGGAGAGTATCTCTGACTTTCGATCAACAACTCTGACACCTTTCAGCCTGAAGAAGCCAGAGCGGTCATCGCCTGTTATTCTTTCATGGCAGTTCGGGTTACTTTTTCAGAGCGGGTAATGTTATAGGCACTAAGGTAGATAGAAATATTATAGGCAGTCAGACAGGGCCAGGCCCTGGAAGGAGCCAATACGGAAGACAGGATACATTGCAAATGGAGACATACTTGCCACAGGCCAGACCTCAAGACAAAAGACTAAACAAATGCACCCAAGTACCTCCCTAGGGATGGACATCAAGGATTGATATTCTAAATAGGTGGCAATCGCCTTGTAGAATTACTGACCCAACCCCTCACAGGAAAAGCCCCTGCTCTGTATTCATGCCTGCTTTCTTCCTGACTCCCTTTCCCATTTGATCCCAATTTAATCAATTTTACCTGAACAATTCTTATTGGCTGACCATAGTTTTGTCGCACCTCATGCTCACCTTGTTTCCCATTTTTTTTTCACGTTGGACCCGCCTCACCTTGTGATTTTGCTCTATAAAATTCCTGGAAAAGACGGGTTCCCTGGGCAACCCACTTGGCTCCCCTTCTGTCCCTCTCTCGGACAAAGCTTTCTTTCCCTCAATAAATATATTCTGCTCTTAAAAAATTTTTTTTTGATAACTATCAAAAGATTTCCTTCAGTAACTAAAAATATTGCAAAGTTCTTGCTTTACCCAAGAAAATTTGACAAGATTATAGTTCCAAAGGGGTTTTGCGGTATATTCAGACCCAGATGTGCTGTGTGGTTCCCTCTGCAGGGAAGGGCGAGTCCCAGCTGCTAGGAGTGCTGCTGGCAGTGACTTCAGCTGCTGCCCTGTGGGGGCTGCGGGGCTGGCTGCTCCTCTCGAGGTCCTGCTCTTTCCCAAGCTGGCCCACAGCCAATGAGGGCGACATGCAGCACCCTGACCATCTCAATCCTATTGCGACTAACTTAAAGGGCCGTCCTAATTCCAGAATCTCCATGGCTGTGAGCCATGGCTGCCACTGGACCTGCACTACAGGTCAACATCAGTACACATCCCATAATAAAAACAGTGCCCCTAAGAGCTTCTCTTAGCCCAGTTTCAGTGTTCCTGTTTTCTGTGGGCGCAGCTCCTGTCTATCATGCAGTCTCTAGACAGAGCTGTGGTGAGTTCAGGTGGCCTCATACTGCAAGAAGTTGGCAGTGTTCTCTGACCTTTCCCGTTATCCTTGGCTGAATTCTGACCCATTCCCCTATTCTCTTGCCAAGATTCTTGATCTCTTGCTACCCCATTTTGGCTTCATCTGTGGCTCTACTTTTAAAGTCTGTTGGCCTACTATGACATATGTCAAAATCTGTCCTTACTTTGTAGTATGTCTTTTTTCAAATCTCCAATTCTGTGGTAACAAGAGCTAAGGCCTACTCCCTGTGACATCTATCCACTTCTTATTATTTTTTGAAATGTGTAAGTTCATTAATTTTTTTCCTAATAATAATAATGCCTTTTTTATTTTCTAAGCTTATAGAGAAGAAACAAACTTAAAATTGCGTACATTTAAGTAACTAAAAATATTGCACAACTGCTGAGGACCAGCTTAATGTGGTGCAGAGTAGGTAATAATTAATATTAATCAATTGGCACAAAAATAAACTGAAAGTCTGTTCTAGGCCTACATGACTTGTGGTGAGAACCCTGGCTGGTTTAAGGACAGATTAATCTTTATGTCAATGGCCAGAGCTGAGGCTAGGAAACAGTCTGTAAAGTTCTAGTGCTTCAAAGCAAGATAACGTGGCAGCTGAGGACTTTGACTCAAGCAAATTCCTTTTAGCTCAGTACTCTAGGTAGCAGAAAATCAGACTATTAGTTAGCCATGATCTGTTCCTGTGTGCTTTTCCAAAAATGCATCGTTCCTCAACCCTTGAACCCTGAATGCCCCAGCAGTTCACCCCACTTCCTGCAGCCCAGCAGTATTCCCTGTAATGCTGAGCACTTAATAAAGGCCATGGACACTGTGCCTCATGCCCTCACCTGTCACTGGGCTTTGACCATCCTGGTGCCCATTATAACCAAAATATATGTTTTTGTCTGTGTTTTATTCTGTCATAATACCCATGAGCAGGAGCTCGGTGGCCCTTGACCAGGGCCCCAATATACAACCTAATTTGATATGTATACATTTTGAATTAAATGGTGCATAATCTCAGTCATACATAGAATTTAATTAATGCAGATCTCAGTTAACACAGAAACAGAGAGTAGCATGGTGGTTATTAGAGACTAGGGGCAAGAGGAAACAGAAAGGGATTGGTCAAGAAGCCAACATTTCAGTAATGCAAGGTAAAGCAGTTCAGATTTAATATACAATATGATGACTAAAATTAAAAATACTCTATGTTTGAAATTTGCCAAAAAATAGGTCTTAAATGTTCCTTGACTATTTCATTTTAATTCATTTCTTCCCATTTTCTGCTCCTTACCTGTTTGTGCTTTCTTTCATGATAAGCAGACCAAGGTTGACAGAAAAAATTAATTTAAATTAAGCTTTTATATTAGATTTAATAATTAGCCTTTACCTTCAAGTACCAGTTGCCACTCAGATGTAAACGTGGTCCTAACTTTGAAATCTGTGTCAGAATTTTGGCAGAAGGCCATATGCTTAGTATCCGTGGTCTCTCCTCTTTAGTACTAGAGTGCCGTAAGATACATGACTAATAAGATGGAAAACAAAGGAGAATAAAAGAAATAACAGAGGTTCATTTATATACAGTTTAAAAGTACTATTTCCAATGGAAGATGTATAGTCCAATAAATAATTTTAAAATAGAACATTGCCTTTGCCTTAAAGTATTTTTAATATCTGGATATATTTTAATTATCACTTGATTGCTTAAGAAAATATTAAACTATTTCAAGATAAAATTGATAAAACTTTGAAGAGAATTACTAGAATACAAACATCTCTACATGTAATTATTCATTAAACCATCCTGGGAGCTAGAATCTTTCTAATTTCCTACAAGAATCCCCCATCCTAAGCTCTTTCCCCTTCTTTGCCTTAGAAGTAATCCTTATTTCAGTTTTTTCCTATTATTCACTTGCTTTCTTTATAGTCTATGTTTATGTCCATAAACAATATATTTAGTCTTGAATATACGTGAGCTTTACATAAACTGAATAATGTCTTTCATTCTGCTTTATCCTCAACATCATATTCACGAGGTTAATCAATGCTTCTACTGTGTATGTAGTTGGAATACATTCATGTTACTGCTACACATCATTCCCTCAAGGACTTTCCTGTTGGTGAATACCGAGGTTGATTGAATTTCTTTGCTATTATCAACAGTGCTGTCATATATATTCTTGTGCATATCTCTTGGTACATACATGCAAGAGTTTCTTCAGGGCCTGTACCCATAAGTAAACATGGACAGCTGTACAGGGTGTGCAAACACATGCATGTGTGTGTATGTGCACACACATGCATGTGGTTTATAATGCCAAACTTTTTTCCAAAATGACTGTACCAATTATAAGTGCTACTTAATATTCATGCTGAAACTTGATATTTTCAGAATTTAATAATCGGTAGGTCATTACGATTGTAATGTTCATTTTCTGAGTACTGATGTGGTGACCCCTATTTTCTTAAGTTAATTGGCTGTTCTAATTTCCTCTCCTGTGAAATGTCTGTTCAATTTTTTCTGTTCACTTGGTTGTCTCTTTCCTTATGTATTCTGGATGTGTAAAGAATATCTTTTGACACTTGTGTTGTAAATTTGTTTTCTCAGTATTACTTTGTCTTTTTTACTTTTTTGTGTGTTCTTTGAAGAAAACCCAATCTTTCATGGTCTATGAGCTTTGTTTTAGGCCTAATAAACTCTTCATTCAAGATCTTAATGATACCCTCTAATATTTTCCTCTAAGATGTCTTTGGTTTTGCCTTTGCAGTGAGGTGTTTAATACATTTGTGCCAGTCCCTTTTAGTAAGTAACCTCCCTGACCTGCAAAGGTAACTCTGCTATTTTTTAAGTTTCCACAGCTGTATGGGTCTCTATTAGGTTTTCACTCTGTTCTATTGGTCTATTTGTCAAATTGCATTGTCAATTTTTTGTTGTTGTTGTTGTAGGATCAGTCCCCAGATTCCTAGGTATTCTTCAGGAATGTTAATTATATTTTTATAAACCAAAGAGGTTCTTTCCTTCATTTTGAATAGATTGAAAACAGACTAGTGTACACTGTTTAAGGAGTATTTAAATACCCCACAAAAGTAAAGAGCTAGATAATTAGAGTTATCCACTAGAGTGGAGATGTTGAGAATACTGAAACTACTTTGGCTAAAGTATAGCATTCATGGGGAAGTAGGCAGCAGGTGCCTGGGAAGCAGACAGCAGGTGCCCAGGAAGTGGTGTGGTGGTGCATGCCAGCCCTCCGGCCGGCCACAACTGCACAGTCAAGAACTATCATGCCATAGAGAAGCACCAACACAATTGGCCCACCCTGTGCCAGCCACGAAGGTCCGCCTGGGGTTGTGAGTGAGCCATCCCAACATGGAGAAACCCCTGGGAAAACATGCCACACAACAGGTTGCTCTTGGCCCTGCCCCTGAGAACCAGAAAGGTCCGGAGTCAGCGGAGGAGCTGCTGCTGAATAAGGACTCGGAGAACACGAGAGTGTAGATGATGCCTGATGACTCAGAGGTCGAGCTGACTGGGGATGTGAGAGCCGTTTGGGAGCTAGAAACCAGGAGGACCTTGCACAATACCTGGGGACACCCCCTGAAAGCCATTCTCCCCTTGACTGTGCAGGCTGTGGTGGAGGAGTGTGTGGAGCTCCAGAGAGGTCTGCACTGAGACTTCATGGATTACATAGGTGTCCAATATTCAGATTCTGAAAAACCGCCTCCATGGAGAAGGTAAGTGTCTAGGTTACCTGCCTGGGACACTTTGCACCTGATAGTGCTGAGACTGACTAGTGGGCTGAGAACTTCATCCATATATTCCTGCCTCCTGTGTTGACGGTTGAGGAGAGGACACTAAGTGGTTACAGGGTCCCAATGTGCTGGTAGGCTGGAGAGATGATTGGTGTGGGTACTCCACTGATGGCTGAGACTGAGGCCCCCCAAAAAAGGGAACACCCCTCTGCTTTCTTAGATCGCTTACAAGAGTCATTGATAAAGCATACTTCCCTGGATCCCAGTTCAGTAGAGGGACAAATTATTTTTAAAGATAAGTTTATTACTCAGTCAGCCCCAGATAGTAGAAAAAAGCTATAAAAAATGCCTTTTGCCCCAGATAGCTCACTTGAGATGCTAGTAAGAACTGCTTCCTCAGTATTTTATAGCCGTGATGAGGAGTAGGCCAAGGAGAGAAAATAAAGAGACTGAGAAAAAGCAGCTGCCTTTGCTACAGCACTAAGAGAAACAGACACAAAGTCTGATTCTCAGGGCCCCAAGAAGAACTTGACAACTACATGCATCTGCTCCCACTGTCAAAAGCCAGGCCACCTCAAGAGGGACTACCCTAAGAAGCCCAGGGGGCCATGCCTTGATGGTAAAGGTGACCACTAGAAGTTGGACTGCCCTCTGAAGCAGAGGCCCCAGAGCTCAGACCCCTCCTACCAGCTGGTCCAACAGGAATGAAGGGGCCCAGAGCATACTCTGCCTTCTCCCTCTGGCCAGACCATTATCTCCAAGGAGGAGCCCCGCGTAATCATGACTATAGAGGAAAAAGTAAACAGCCTATTGCTGGACACTGGTGCTAGTCTGTCAGTCCTTCTTTTCAATCCTGGCCTTCCTTCCAGCCATCACACCTCAGTGAAAGGAGTCACTGGTGAGGAGGTAATCTGCTATTTTTCACAACCCTTAGACTATAACTACTTGTTAGATCTTTCTTGTCTATCTCTGTTTTCCTGAGAAACCACTTTGAAGATACCAACAAGTATTACAGCAGCCATTGATAATTTCCTACCAATCTGTCCATAACTCTTAATGTTTGTATTATTCCTATGCTATTTCATAAATGGATGTATGTTTATTACTATATGTTTCCAACAACAACCATTGAGAATAGTCAATGA